AAAAAAAAAAAAAAATTATGATCTAATATATTTCTATCTGTATATAGGAAAATATTACGATCTTGTTACAAAACCATTATGTTGGGATTCGTAACCGTTAGATCATCTATCACCGATGATTATATGATAATCTAACAATTACGAACCCTATGAAATGATTCCGGGCCGTAACATCTCCTTGTATATAGTAAAACAAATAACTTTGGACTAATTTGTTTGGTATAGAAGACATACATGAGTTTTGGTTTGTGAATTTGATTGAGTTAAAAGCACGTTGTCTGTAGTCTCTATAAAAGTAGAGTTATGTAGGGGTGACGGATTATCTTATCCGGCAATGCAACTTGATACCGAACAAAATATTTTACTTTATGCGATAATTCTTCATCATTGCCAAAAAAAATAAAAAAAAAAAAAATCATTCAACTGAATTTTCAATCAAATCCTCCGGTCCGTTCGATCATCCACGTCAAAATACTCCACCATTTAAACGAAAAATAAAAATCTGAAATTAGTAAGTTAATCAGTATAGACCAAAATTATACAAATTTAGGAAAAAAAATAATCAAGATTTATATAGTGTTGTAACACAGAGAAAAAAAGTATCCATTTCCTAAATTAATTAATCTCTCCATATGACTGACTAAATATATAAAAATTATTATATCATCATACATTTCTCTATCTCAAGTCCACCGCCCCTACTGTCCTCCGCTGCCGTGTCCCCATCGCTCCCCTAGAAACGTCTTGGCCGCGTCCAGGCTCGGGAAATACGTCGGCTCCATAAATATCTGACTCAGCAGGTCTCCCGACTCCCTCGCCTCCAGGCTTCCGACCACCGCCGCCAGCACCTGCCCGTACCCAAAGTAGAACCTCTTCACCGCCGCCTCCACCGCCTGCAATCCCTGCAGCAGGTGGATCCTCTCCTCCTCCGCCGCCTTACTCCGGTAAAGCTCCATGGCCGCGTCCTGTATCCTCGGTCCCCCCGTGGGGTCCACTTCCACTCCCAACACCTCCGGCACCCGGTGCTTCAGATCCTTGCACTCTCGTGTCACACCAACCAGCTCCCTCGACCGGAAGCAGAACGGGTCCGACTTCCGGCCCATCACCAGCTGGGCCTTGAGCCGGAGGAAGTCGTCCGGGTCCATCAATAGATGGAGCTCCACGATCCGACCCGCCAACGCCCACACCTTCTCCAGCGCCCAGCAGTGACCCGCCGCCCGGCTGTAACTTCGCGAATCGATCTCGTCGGAGATTCTCGCCAGGAGCATCTTCGCCGCGTGTACCCACGACTCGAGGATCTTGTGCGTGGCGTAGAGGGTGCGATTTTCGGGGTTTTTCGAGTCCTCTTCGGTTGGGCATTTTTTCAAATTGTGGATCTCGGCCGGTTTGCAGATGGCGTCGTAGTCGATGCTCGGTTTTCCGGCGAGGTTTGGCTCGCCGAGGCCGAGCGTGTAGGGGCACGACTGCATCTGACTTTCAATTGAGTATTGGATTTTCTTCACGGTGACGTCGATTTTATCCCACTCGGCGAGGCGGGGGAGGAGGCTATCCTCGCTGACGTGGCTCACAACCACCGTGTCGTCGGCGAGCTTCCACACCTCCGCCGAGCTATTCTCCGGCCTAAGCGCGCCGCCGGCGGACGAGAGGTCGACGATCGGGATGGTCCCCTTGGTCTCCGGGTCGTCCTCGTCGTCCTCGAATAGGAGGGCGACTATCTCTATCTCGGCGGCGGCAAGGGACTCCAGCCGGCGCCGCCACTCGCGGAGGTTGGAGTACGGGCGGGGATCAGATAGGACGGTGGAGATCAGGCGGAAGGTGATCTCGAGGCCGGCGAGGGCCGGGCGGAGGATCGGCTCGCTCCGCCAGGAAGGGTATTCGGCGGCGGACCAGATCCGACGGAGCTCCGGGAGGCGGAGGTAGGCCTCGTAGGCGGAGCAGGCAGGGTCGGGCGCCGCAGAGAGCTCGGCGGGAATCTTCGGCTGGGGGATGGCGATCTGGAGCTTGGGGGAAAATTTCGGCGACTTGCTGGAGAGATCAGAGGCAATCATCTTCGTTTTCCAATCTAAATCCACCATTTTTCATAAAAATTTTAGATCGAGTATTTGATTGGTCAATTTCTGAATTTTTAATTTTATTTTATCCTTTTTTTTTTGTCGATTTAATTTGTTAACTGGGTTTGAGCAGAAAAAAATGAAAATGGGATGTATATATAGGGGAGTTTGGGGGACAGAAAAGAAAGGAAAGGCGTGTGAAGAAGAATTTCTAAAGGCGCCGCGCTGGGATTTATTTATTATTTTTTTTTTTTATGACTATTTTTATTTATATTTTATTGTTTTTAGTTTCTGAATAAAATGGAGCCTTATCCATTACACGGATAAACCTAACGTAGTAGGTTTGGGTCGTGTGAATTGACGAGAAAGCCACGTTCCTGGGTTTTGGACCAGGCTCGTTCCATGCCTTCGTGTAGTTCAAAATTTGTTTAATTGACGAAAGTGCCCCTTGCTTAAGGTTTTGGATGGACCAGGTTCACTGCGATTGGAGGAGATTGCCACGTATCCACCCATTTGGTGTGTGCCACGTCGTGAGATATGGGTGGAATATGGATATAGATGCTCAACCAGTTGTAAGATTTTCCATAAAATAATAATAATAATAATAATAATAATAATAATAATAATAATAATAATAATAATAAGCAAATTAAGTGGCATTATTTAGTTTGTAAGGCATAAATATTTTGTTATAGGTACATTTTTGTTATAGGTACATATTTTCTGTACAAAGTAACATAATTTAAAAGATATTATTAATATCGAATATAATTAAATACTACATATCATAATATAACTATTTTTTTTCCGCTCATATTGTATGGCTAGTCGATTCACTTAATGGTCAGAGTACATCATCCAATAATTTCCGTATTAGTTATTACTACATAGTGAATTATAATTTAAGCTCAATTTACCTTTATATTAGATATGTGGGGTTAATTAAGAACTCTTTCCCAGACAAATGCAATGTTTGGCTATTAACATCAGCGAATAAATGATTTAATAGCGGATAACGTAGCGTAACGTGCTAATAACTCATCTGATTAGTGAATTGTATTAACAGTTTGTAAAATGAATGTTTGGTAAATAGTTGTTTTGTACAGTTTTTTTGAAAATCTTATATTGTAGATTTATTTTATGAATACTCTCTAAGTGTTTGGGAAATTGGTAATTTTGTAATAGTTATTTTAAAAATTTTAAATTGTAGATTTATATTATCAATCATCTCTACGACTCTTACCTAAAATGCTCCTACATTTGTTCTATTTTCAAAATTACCGTTGTGAATGCATGAAAACAAAACAAAATAAAGTCTTTACTAAAAGAGTTAGTTATTTAAATTTGACGGATCAAATATCCAATTGAGGTTTAATCTCTAATTTTATATCAATTCGTTAACATGCAAATGAGTCCCGAGAGAAAGTAGAAGATCGTTGCCTCATGTTCAACTATCTCAATTCGAGTACTCTAATTTAACTAGGAAACAACAAACGAATCCCATATATGGTCGTTAAAAAATACTTTAAAAGAAGAACCACATTTTACAACAAAAAAATAAATAAAATATATATATATATAAAATTTTCAGTGTTTCGGTCCCTATCCTCTTCACCGAATCTCTCTCCACCATCAACTAGAGTTGTAAATGAATCGAACGTTTGCAAACAAAATCTCGTTCGAGCTCGTTCGTGTTCGACAAAAACTTGTTCGTTTGTTAATCAAGCCTAGTTCGAACAAGAAATTAGGCTCGTCTAATAATCGAACGAACACGGGCTCGTTCGTGAACGTTCGATTATGTTTGCCAACATTAATTTAATATAAATTATTTTATTTTTTGGTGTATTTACATAATATTTCTAATAAAAATATAAAATTTACTATTAAAATATATATATATATATATATGCAATATATTACTTTAAATTTATTTAAATAATTTAAGTTAACTATATTAAAAATAATTTTAACGTACCTTAAATATTTTTCATTACATAAAAAAAAGAAGAATAATATTTCTATAACTTTAATATATAACATTAATGAAATTGTATGATAATAAATTCTTATAATAATTAATATTTAAGAATTATATGGTGAACAACAATAAATAAATAAAATTGTTGGTTCTATTATACTCTGAAAAAATATATATATACTAAAATGAAATTTATAATATAAATGTGTAAATTAGCGATATATTATGTTAATTAATTTACAAGATAGAGTTAATATGCTCAGGTTTAACATTCGGGCTATAAAAACAACGTTGATTAAAAGAGATAAGAAGCATGCTTAAACAGACAGACCCTATAAAAATAACTCATTTAATTATGTCTTTGTCTTGTGTATCGCACAAGTTACGTACTAGTGATCGATTAATATTATTTAATTATATTGATAATATTTAGGATATTATAGTTGAATTAAATATTGAGTATGATATTAGATTATATTATAGTCGTGATATCTACCGAAATTTGCTTAACCAATTTAATAATATAGAATAGGAAAGTTTGAAATATATCACATGACATAATAAAAAAGATAATATATATTGGTCCACTGAATGAGACTATTTATATGAAATTTGGGAATTATATCGCAGACGAGTTTGACGTTGAAACATAATTAGAACGTGAGAATGGGAAAAATGGTCCAACCTAGGATCCTTCCTAATTGCCCTGTCACAAGTTGTTTTCATTTCATTTTTTTTTTTTAAAAAAAAAATATGAAATAAATAAGACATTATGTTTCATTATATTACAGTTTTGCCATTTGGATTTAAAATTACAATACCACCAATAAAATGTTCCCGTGTTGTTTGTGGAAAACGACGTACTGCGCACACAGCTCATTACATTACCAAGTTTTATAATTTGAGTTGATGTGTAACAAGGAATGAGAGCTTTACCGTCTTTGTGGTCTTATCCGATTCGATTATAGATTAGTCGGTTCTCTTGTGGATCCGAAAACCGGAAGGTCATGTACCAAAAAAAAAAGCACTCAACAAAGTTCTTCGATTTTCTAGAATGTCACATTTATCCATTACAATAAGCAATTTTATCATCAAATACAAAGTGTTTGTAATATTATATTAATTAATGTTATATTTAATACGATAATTGCGAGTAAATATAGGCTTAATTTCAGGTATGGGTATTCTGAAATAGTATCTAAATTAAAATAGTCAAATTTTTTTATTATTAGGATTTCCTTGTTCATGCACTTGGTTTTTGCATGCATCAGTCAACGACTTGTCCTAATTTTGTGAAACAATAACTTGACTTCATTATATACATTTTATATAATATAAAACATTATTGTTATCTCAATATATATATATAAAATAAAGTGTACGATACGTATTTCCAACATGTTATAAATTAGTAATAATAATAGTAATATAAAATAAATTTCTTAACCTATCTATCCATAAATGTGTTACGTGATAAAAATTCCAACCAAACGTTCGCATTTTTTTAAAAAAGATTATAACAAATAATTTAGTTTCAATCCGGAAACCAAAGGCCCTTGTGGTCCTACCCGGTTTGATTCCGGATTAGTCGGTTTCCCTGTGTATTCGGAAATCGGAAGGTCTCTGTACTAAAAAAAAAAAAAAAATTCCTATACGGAAATTGTATTTTTTTTTTTAGAAAAAAAAAACTTACGTATAAATTTGTTTCGTGTATTTATCGACTATTAGTGCTTCGTAATTTCATATGTTAAATTCTGGTGTTTAATAGTAGTTCGAGTATGTTTGAACTTCTATCCATAAAATAGTAATTCTATTTTTAATAAATATATTAGTAATTTTTTTTTTAATTCACATCCGTGCTTTTTCGACTATGGTAATTGAAAAACATATTATTATCCCTCCCTATATATTAATTCAAAACGTGTTGAACATAGGTGACAGATTCTTATGCTTCGGATGCTGACATGACGAAAATCTATGAATCGTGATATTGTTTATATACTCCCTCCTATTTTTTTTTTAAATGTCATTCTAGCTTTATCAACTATTTAACAAATAAATGTCATTTTGGATATTTTCTACATATTTTTCCATTGTTACCCTCATTTAGCTAATAAATATATTACGTCTTTTCATATTCACTCTTCACTTTTTTCTCAAAACATTCATCTCTATCTTCATTAAATAAGGTTATTATTGACAACAAAAATATTCTTAATTAACGTGCAACTTCTCAAAACGACATATATTAAAAATAGGAGGTAGTATTATTTTTACTCTGTAGTTAAGTTTGGTATTAGACATAAATAACTTTACACATTTACTCATTAACTCAATACTCATGTCGTACATAAGTATTAGTAATAGTAGTAATATATATTTAAGAACTCAATTATATCGATTTTAATCCCAAGACCTACTAACGAACTTTTTAGTTGACCGAAATTTGAATAACACGTTAAATAAAAAAATAATTAGTCGGTTATGGCAGACAACTGGTAAGGATAAGAAGGTCATTTGACCACATTGCTTATCCAAAGAAGAGAATTTGACAAGTTTCCGTTAGTTTCGGATAAGCGTAGACCCACTTGATCAGCTGTCAAATGGGCGGGGCTTTGAAACATTCTCTGTACATTTAATCAAATTTTCTCTGTTCATGGCGTTTGAACTCCGGTCTATCTCCGCGTTTACCGTTCAATGATTTCGCGTCGGATTGAATCTCAGCCATACACGTGTCTCCCATCTTGCGGCCATTTTTTGTCGTTCGTTAGTTAGAAACTAGTATTCGATCATGTGTATTTGCACGTATTAAATAAAATATTATATATTATTTATATGCATATAATATTAAAATTATAAGTTGGATACTGATATTGTATTTTAAACATAAAGTATTATAAATTATATTTATACATATAATATTATAATTATAAGTTACGTAATTGTATTATGTTCTAAAATTTGATCATTTATTAAAATAAATAGTAAATAATTATTTGATTGCATGTGATGAATCACT